CCAGGGGGGCAAGAATGCCCCTAGTCCATAGATGCAACAGCAAGAACCTGCACCAGGCATCCACTAATGCCATCCTTGCACCATTTCTGGTGGAAATACAGATTTCACAGGTGCAAAGTTCCTTTTTCTGCTCTACAGCAGCAGGAGAAAAGAGAGGGGAAAAAAAAAACCAAAACCAACCAAACACCAAAGAATAGACTCACAAATCTGAATTATGTGAAAGAGGAATTATTAGCAAAGGAGCTACTGAGCAGCCCTGTTCCATGGTGTAAAAAGCAATTTGACTAAACACAAAAAGTAAAGTCCATGCAAAAAAACCTAAAAAACAAAAAAAACCACAACCCTGCAGTCAGGAAATGCCAAAGTTAAAAGAGTGTCCTTGTTTTTCAGCATGGCAGAACTTCCAGGCAAAGGTAACACCTTTCCTAAAGCCAGGGAATGCATTGGGAAAGTGTCTTGTAACACACAGCCCCTTATCCCCCAAACTCTGAAACCTAAGCAGCCTCACTCTGCAGCTAAACAGTAAATTGAGAAGAACTGCTCCAAATTTAACCAGGTATCTGTCACTCTACCCATCTGCCAAGAGATGAGGTAGCTGGCACGCTAAGACAGGTAATTTTTAGCCTGTGGAACATGGAGATGAGCGAAAGAGAAAAGGAATTAATTAAATTGGCTTTATTTTGGCTGGCCAGGTAGAGTTCCCAAGCCTTCTGGAAAGCATCCCAGACACCTTTTGGGACAGGGATAACATTCTCCTCTCCAGTCATATTCCTCACTAGCAACTAGGTGCTTCTGTTCAGCATCAGTTATCAAAAGTTTTTTGGCCTTTGTTTAGACTCACCAAAAAAAGGCACAGCCCCCAAGCCTTGTTTGTATGGGTTTTGGGGGTTTGTTTGGGTTTTTTTAGACTGATGCAACTGTAAGACCACTCACTTTTCTATGAAATTCTTGCAAATATCTTTTTGTGTGTATACAAGTGCACTGCAAATATGGACACTGCAATTACTGACCTGATTTGTCAAAGGGTTATATACTTGTCTGAGGTTTGCCTGAGAAACATCATATTCCTCTAAAAACAGTTTGTCAGCCAGGATGGAGTGGAGGGACCCCTCAGGATTTGCCATCTCACTACCTTATGCTACATTGAATTGGAGGGGTCTGTGGAGATGTGGGAATGCTAAATCATTCAATACATTCCTGGAAAAAGAGCAGAAAGATGAGCAGTTTCTGGAAGGTGGCACCTCAGTGAAGGCAGGGCTAGTACAGTTGGGAAAGGCAAAAGGACTCAAATTAATTGTGCCTGGTATTAGCGGGGTCTGGAGCAATCCTGCTCCACCTTCCAGCTTGGGCTGGTTTTGTCCAAGGGGATGAACACAGCACACCCCAAAGGGCTGCCTCTAAGTCAGGCAGGCTTAACTAAGCCAGGCCTAGAAATGATGTCACCTGGGTACTGCACAAGGCTCAGCATGGGCACCAGCACCTCCCAGCAAGACCCAAGATAAATGTAGCTCAGCTGCATTTCATCCTACAGTGTGATCAGTCAGGCTCTGCATGGGCTGCAGGTGTACTTCTAGACCATCGATTAACAGTTCTTTCAGCTCCACAAAGGCTTTGATTTTTCTCTATACAGGGGAAGTTACCATGTTTAGCACCACAATTTTTCTTCAAAACTGTTTAAGAAAACTTCACCTTAGGTGTATGCACTAGGTCTATGCAGAAATCCCCTCTCCTGAGATCCTCTCAATGTCAGAGGATTTTCCAGGGGAAAGAAAGCCTGACTGAACATGGGAGACACCTCTCCCTTAGGTGGGATCTGTGGCACCCCACAGGCCACCCTGGAGCACTGCAGAGGGGTGAGACTACAGGTACAAAGCTTGCACCCCAACGTTTAGGCTGGTTACCGGTAGCAGCACCTTATCTGCAGGAAAAGACAGGCTGCGGCAGGAGGATGTGCCAAGCCGAACGGTAACAATCTGCTGGGCAGCTGTCCAGAGGAAGATGCGGAATAGCCATCCATCCTCAAACGTGGCTGGGGTTTTCTGGCTGCTTCTACCTGCTACTCCAGAGCAAAGGAAGAACAGCAAAGAATCTGGTGACTTAAAGAAGGTCCAGAGTTATTCCGCCATGGGAAGACGGGGAGCAGGGTGATGGTGGGGAGTATGAAGGAATCTCAGTGTCTCAGGAAAAATATGGAGTGTTCCAGGGACAAAATTCACAATCCAGCAAGAAGGAGCATCAGTGAGGTTACTCTGCAGACAAGGCTACCAGTTTCTTCCCCTGCTAGCAAGGAGGCACTAACAGCTCAATCATCATTGCTGCAGCAGCTTCACAGGAAGATCTGGCAGCCACAGCTCTTGTCCTTACATCTTAACACATCAAAACCAATACTTTAAAAAAAAAAAAAAAAAAATCAGAAAAACAGCTGATAGCTGAGAGATTGCGGCTGTTGCCAAATAATATTTATATTAAGTAATATGGTAATATGCAGACTAATATCTGCATGAGCTGCTGGCTCAGCTATAGGCTCACTGATGTTACCCGCTACAGCTCACTGCAGCATGCAGAGGCGGATGTGTGATTCTGGAAGCAGAGTTTAAATTCCAAATTATAAGTACGCCATTGCATTACATTAACTTTGGCATTTCGTAACAATGTATTTAAAATAATAAAATTAAGACTAACCTAAGTAAAACATCTAAGTGTGGAAATCAGCAGGTTATCAACGATTTCTCACATACACATTTGTAAAATGTCCCTGCTTGTAGGGCGCTTCCCACCACAATATCACAGAAAGCTTCAAATGCCATTATGAAATGCAAGAGTATCCAAGGGAATGGAGGACTCGAGTCGGCCTTTACCTCAGAAGGTGTTATGCCGATTGTGTCTCTTCATCCCGGCAAACCTAATACACAGCTGTTGACTGTATTGGATTTTGCTCTCCAAAAAAGTGAACAGAGAAAACATTTGCCCACCACAGAGGTTCATCACTCCAGGATTCAAGCTTTGCTGCCTTTAAAATAATAGCAGACCGAGCAAGCAAATTTAGTAACCTCAGTTACTTGGCTCATCATCTTGGACACCTCCATCAGAGATGATGAGCCTGGATCCCTCAGGCATCTGATGAGCAGCCAGACCAGCCAGGAAAACTTCAGCCTTTGAAGCACAGGTAGTGAACTCTTCACCTCCAGCGTGTGTTTAACTGCACTGATGGTGGTTGCATGCAATCTGGTCAAGTCAAAGCCAATTTTTATTAGGTTAAGTCCATTTGAGACTGCTTGAAATGAGTATTTACATAATCAGATTACAATCTGATATCTTGTTTAGGTCCTCGTGAAACTTCATCAGATGAAATTCTGAAATGCGGGGAACTCTGAACAGCCACCAGAGATGAGATTCTCCCTGGCCATCTCAACATGAAAGTCGGGCCAACGTGGCAATTATTTTTCAAAGTTTTCTGGGCTGGTTGAGAGCCACTTTGAGGACAAACTGCTGGCAATATAAACCCCTTAGCAATTGTGAAGCTGTTAGTTATGCAGAGGAACATGCACTACACAGTTTAGATTTTGTTGGATACACACCTAGACCAGTCTCATGCATGCTCAATAAGCAGTTAGTAAATGCTACTCAAGTGGTTGAGATCAAAAGCTAGTTTCCTCTAGGTATGCACTATTTAAGACAGTTTTGATCTGCTAGAAAAGTGATCCAAGCCTCAGCCATTCTCCAAGTATTAACATTTATTATCTGTTTTGTCAGTTTGGTTTTTTTTTTTTTTTCCATTCTCTGAAACACAGCTCAGGAACCACAAAGTTGGTTTTGCCCAAGCTTCACAAGCAGATCCCTGTTTCAGCACCTACATTTTCATCCCAAAAGGCAAACATCATGCTGTGTTGTGATCAATCCCTTGTGCAGCTCAACAACAACTAGTCCTTGCTGCACAAGCTACAACACAGCTGCCTTGGGAAGTCACCTACCATGCTAGAGGGCTTGTCCAACCCAGGACGACGCGAATGACTCGGTGCTTCCCGTCCTGAGTCAGCATGTTGCCCTCCACATACTCTAAAGCACCTGCTCCATTACTCAGACACATCGTTTTCCTACAGCATGATGGCATGCTCGCCACTTCTCCAGGATTCCTCAAACAGGTTTTCTTGGTAAACCCTGTAGTAAGCAGCCAGGTGCCACATTAAAGCCTGGTTCTCAATGTGGTTCTTTCAGATACTCATTCTAGCCTCAAACTGCCCCTTCCCCCATCTTTTAAAGAGGAAGATATGCAAAGAAGCTCAGAGATCAACCAGTTACTACTTTTTTTTGTGTACCAAACACAGTTTAACTAATTAGTACTACCATCAAACTTGATAATAAAATCCTAATCTTTAGAAAATATAAATCAGTGGCTATTATAATTAGATACAGTTTCCAAAGCATTCCTTAAATACAAATTCAGTTGCACAACAAAAGAGCAGCCCTATTCCCACTCTTTAACACTGAAACCAGGTTTTTATTTTTGAAGCGTCTCTGTGGTCTCGGTCCCTTTAAGGTAATGTTCCCTTACAAAATGTGCCCTGTGTCCAATCCAGATGCCACACCGAGGAGGGGGTGCCATTGCTGATTACAGTGTTTCCAGCTTCCCCCCAGCCCCCCATGCTGCCCTACCCTCCTCCGGGCTGACAGGCAGGATTTCTCAGGGCTACTACAGCAGAAAAGAGACAGGAGCACTAGAGCCCTTGTGCAACAAAAGCTTTAAAGATATTGAAATAACCACCCTCTCACCCCATAGTCTGAGATCTTTGAGAAATCCAGTGTAAGGACTTCGCACAGCACTTGGACCCTCTGCACTTGCTTGGGCTTAACGTTCAGAGAGGGAACAGATGAGAAAGCAAAGAGCTCAGAGCTGAGCGAACTGGGCTACGGATCCTTCTGCCACAAAGCCCCACTCCGTTCTGCTTCCACAAGTTCATTTTGCCTTTTTTTTTCTCATAAGTGGCTTTGAGCACACTTACCGTCTGGGACTTCATCCGGCCGCTTCCTTTTCTCATAAACAACTATGATGACAACGAGGATAACGATTTCTGCCAAGATCCCCAAAAAGGGCCAGAGGGGAGCCAAGTGGCTGCGGACACGGAGTATGGTTGTGACTGAGACAGAGCCGACCTGGTTGGTTGCGTTGCATTGGTACTCGCCAGGATCCTCGTTTATCTGTAGGTTTGTGATGCTGAGCTCAGTGTAGTTGTCTTTATTTGAAATAAAGAATCTGCCAGAGGAGTTGTTGATGTCCTGATAAAAGGAGAAATGAGGAAGAGGAAAAGAACAAGAGCTTTAGTAAGTTCTGGTACTTTGCGTTTCTACATCATGGAAACTAGAAGAGATGTGAGGGATTCCTGCAAAGGGGCTGCTTCCTTAACAGAAAAGACTACTACTAGTGTTTATTCTGTGTTTCTCAGTAAAGTGAGCTGTGCTTCCAAACACCAACAAAAACCATCAGTTTAACTGACAACCTGTATTTTCATCCTCCTTCAGCAGTATCAGCCATGAAATGCTGGTGGTTGTGATCAGCTAAGCTACCACATTATGTTCTGGGCCTTTTGCTTCAAAAGAAACTGTTATGCTCCACTCACCAGTTAATAGAACTAGGATGAAACAAGTAACAAGATAGAGGATACATTCCCTTGAAGGGGACAAAACGTAGAGGGGGAAAAATTTCAACATAAGAGGGGAAAAGGGAAAGCAGTACCAGTTAAGATTATTCTATGTAGTATCAGAATTTTCTAACTATTTAAGATATGATGGCTCTAATAAAATTTTCCTTTGCTATGTTGTTAAAAGAAACATGCACGGCTTACAGATTTGTGGTCAGGGAAGCCTAAGCCACTGACTTCGAAAATATTTAGAGGAGCTGGAATTCAAGGCACTGTATTCTTTCTGTATTTGAAAAACAGACTTCCAGAGTTGCTTAGGTTTAAAGAATTAAAAAAGGAGCAAAACTGATCTTCGTGAAAGTTAATCTTGGATCAATTTATCAAGTAACTTCCAGAAAAGACAGTGTGAAGGGAAATCTGCACACCACCACAGAGGATTCTGATGACTTGCAGTGCTTGGTAAGTCACTCCTATAGCACTGTCTCATAAAAATTTAAGCTCACGCTTAACTGTACAATCAACCCATACTGTTATTTGCTTAACGTTTTTTCTTCATCTATCAATCCAACTGATACCTCTCTGGCAGATCATACAGCAACATAAAAATAGGTGGGGTGAAGGATTTAGCAGCTTCCAGCTTGTCTTCTGCTATTCCAACTGCTGGTCAAATTTTCTTGCTCACTAGATCAGTTGCTACATGAAAAAAACATGATCGCTTAAACACTAATAGGTATCACTGCCACATCCTTGTATTAAGTTGTGAGCTCAACCAGTTAAACTGGAAAACAATTTAAGAAATTTATAACTAAATGCATTTTTTTTTAAAAAATCACATTTCATAACTCACATCTTGCAACTTGTAGCAGATACTGTGAACATCATATCTTTCTGGACAGTCTGTAACTTTGCCCAGAAGCAATGCAGTGAACAACTCGGTTATTTATATAGTCGTGTGAACAATTTTACACTCACTGCAGCTCCACTCACTAATATATCAAACTTCTGAGGAACTGCATTTCACAAAGTTATATATACGGCACCCTAAATAATACATCCCTAAAACCAAGGTGCCTGTTTCCTTCCTTACTGGGGGTTTGGGCAAGTTAATACATGCCTGACAACCCAGTTTTCTTACCTCAAATACTCCATTGACCTTCTTGCGCCACACCCACTCAGGATGTGGGAAGCCCACAGACTTGCAGTACATGAGTGCCTCCTGCCCCTCATTTTTATTTTCACTTCGCTTGTGGCCAGTGATGTCAGGAGTAGCTACAAAACAAAAGAAAAAACTCCATCTTTACAAGCTGCTAATTAAAGAGAGAGTAATTTCAAGCTCTGAGAATCTGAACAGAAAATAAGTGACAAGTTCCCTGGAAACTGCTCCTTTCCCACACTGAACCTATCTTGGAGAGACGTGATGCCCACGTCTCTCCAAGCAGCACCTCAGCTGAAGATCTGCAAGAATGTCCTTCAGGCTTGGTTTGCCAGATAAACTGATGGACAAGAAGTCTCAACATCAGACTTGAGTCACCTACCAAAACCCCACAAAACTAAGATGGGCCCAGCCGTTCCCCAGTGCAGGAAGCTGAGAAACATCCACGTCTCCCTCCCCACCGCTCAGGAGGCCCCTGCAGCCCCCTCCACTTCGAAACAGAGCTGTCAGAGTCTGGTTACAACTTGCCCATTGCATCAGGACTCTGAACTGCTGTCTTAACACGAATTTTTGAGAGCTGAATCAAGATATTCTTCCTTGCAGCAAGATGTTAGATTTGGTCCACAGACATGCTGTGACTTGTTACTCTTTATGTTTGTTACTTACGTCTTACAGTGACACTACTCCTGGTAGCTGTAGCGCAGCAGAATCATTTCATTTAGCCCATACACACACAGATTCTAAGGAGGGTTGCAAGTGAAGCTGGGCAACCACAAGCAAAACACATCCCTGAACATCAGCAGAGATCTGCATCAATTTATAAATAACATTACTGCTGTTTGCCACATTTGTCACAGGAGCCCGTTGCAGCCTAATACCTCATAAGAGATTACGATGGATCAGTGCACTGCCTGAGCTGAACCTTCACTTAAGCAGATGGCTTTGGTGCTGCAGTGACCACCTTTAAAGCCCATTCGCTTTCTAGCTTGCTAATTATGTCACACATGGCCTGCTGTGTGATCACAGCATGGTGATCTGTTAATCCAGTCAAAGTCCAATCCGAGTGCTCCAGGAAGAGACCCCCTGGCAATGGAATTTATTACAAGGATCTATTCAAGGAGAGTTAGTTCCCTTTATCATTTGTAACACCTACATACAGATATAAAGAGGGAGCACAGGTTTGTGACAGCTTATCTGCAGATGCAAGAATTAAGCAAATTTCACAGTTCTCATCAGTCGCAGTGAACAGAAACAGGCAAAACATCTTGTGCAACCAGAGAGCATCAGCTGAACCTGCTCTTCCCCAAAATTACATCACAACTCTTTAGGAAAATGTTCAGCAAGTTTAAGTGCTAAAGGAATTATCATATTTCAAAGGCTTTTCAAATACAGAAAGCATCCCACGCCTTACCCCTGCAAGATTCTTTTTGGACAGTAAAGCAACAGATTGATAATGTTGTTAAGAGGCAGAATTAAAATAAACTTCTGAACAACACAAAAACCATGGTTGTTAAGAATACTTAAGGTACAGTGTTCCTTAGCATGTGTGTATTCACCTGAAAAGACACCATCAGGAGAGGCTGATCAACCCAGGCTTTTCTCAAAATGCCTATGTAAATTCAAACAGGATTTCCAACACACGTGTGAGCTCCGCACAAGTTCTGACCATTTGCTGTGTCAAGAAACATGCGCTTTCTGCTTACAGAATTATTAACTCTTAGTTGCATTTTCTGAGGCATGATTTACTCCAACTCTGGAAGCACCAGAGCTGTCAGTACACACTGACAAGCTGAACAGATCCTCCACGCTGGATGCTGGGGCAGAGGCCAGTTCCTTAGCAGAGATACTGCCTGCCAGAAATGAAAACTAACTCCAGGGCTTGGTAGAACACTTAAGGAAGTGATGACATTTTAAAACTGTAGTATGTTAAGCATGTTCTCTTTTCTTTTTTTCCTCCTGATTTTTAAACATCTTTTCAGCAAGGAGCTGAAAAAGAGCTCATTATCTAAGAAAAATACTATGCTTGTATCATCCCATAAAGAAGGTGGTAAAGGAAGTACTCGATCAAAGTCTTTAAGTATCCAAACAGGCTTTGCTAACAATATTCAGTATACATGATCATATAGTAAGACCAATGGATCAAGCCAGACAAGTGCCGACTAATTGCAAGATGATGCTAACCACAAGCATGATAGATAAGAACACGGCACTAGGGGTTTTATTTATCCTTAAGAAAACTGACACCTAAACTGTATCTTTACACATCAAACATGAAAATACTTTGAGACATAAAACATGAACTGAATGAAGGCACCAGATCATAACAATTCACTGGTCTTGTGCGAAAAGAAGCTGTCAGGTATAGAAACTGAAGCAAACTAGAAAGGAAAGAACATTCCATGCTGGCTAAGTGATCACACACCACCTGTGCCTACAAGGGGCAATAATACTTGAAGGAAATTCCATTTTCAAGCTGAAGGTCTCCAAGCAGAAAATAAACCCACTTTAAGGTTGAGTGTGTTGCATTAAATCTTCAGGATACTAAGCACCAATATGTGCTTGCAATGTCCTTTCAAAAGACTGTCTGCAGCCTCAAAGAGAAATATAACATTTATTCCAAGAGATGGTAGTTCAAGAAGAATTTCATTTAATCTTGTGAACTACCAAAAGGTGTCATTTCTTCCTTGCTAGGCTCGGAAGGTTCTCTTTTAGGCAGGAGTTAGTAAGCCCAGTGACTTTGCTGTGATTTTTGCTTGAGGATAACATGCAGAGATCTCAGCCAACCTAAGGAAAACAAAAGTCCAGCAGCAGCAGAGCACAAGAGACAGACTTAAGGTGGCAAGGCGACCGTCCCAAAACTGGCACTGACAGGCTGTCAAAAGCAATTGCAAATTACCCCCATTAGGAAAAGAAGAAATAGGATTCATCACCTTAAAGCTGAAGCCCCACACAGTCTCCATCTGTCAGCACTTCGTTTTTCATTGCCATCTACCAGCAGACAGCGAGTCAAAGCAGAACTTTGCAGGGGAAAAAGGTACAGTAAGTCAGCACTCTGCAGCTGGCCCACTTTTTCTAGAAGGTTGCTGACATGTAGAAAGAAAGCAAGCAAGCTTTCTAGGACACCTTAACTTCTACTGCAGGGTGACCTAGTGTTCTCCTACAGCCAAGAGATAATTATATTTCTTTTAAGAAGAGGACATGTTCGCCGGGTTATCCAAATGAGAGCGTAAGTGACAAGAATACATTGTGCTCTTTCCTTGCTGGGCACTTATGCAGCAGCCATTTCCAGCTCTACTAGGACAGGGACTATTTTTATATGTAGTTTGAGGGGAGCACTACATGGAATATTAATATTTCAAGGCATGATGCTAGCCAGTTTCAAGCTATAGCTGAGACATTAATCCAGTACTTATTCTACCAAACTGCTCAACGAATTGTGTTCAGCTTTACAAACTACAATTAAAATATCACTGTAACTAACCTCAGTCACAGATTTAGCAAGAGAGTGATGTTTTCCTGTGAAGGTTTTCAAGTCAAGGTTTTTCTTACACCATTCTACTCCACTGCCAGTAACAGATAAAGCACAGAATAAAGCAGGTTTTGTTCAGAAAGGATTAGGATTTCACTTCAGCTTTCAAGCAGCAGAATCCACATCTCTGTTCAGATACAGTTGGCTGTGGAGACATGGGCACAACATGCTACGTCAGCTCCGACATTAGCAAAATCAAGATAACCTCCCTGATAAAAGAAAGCAAGTTCTGTATTCTTACATTATGAAACAGGAAAACTAAATATTGAAGGTTTGTTTGGAACAGCATATGGAAGAGCAAAAAGAGTCAGGGCTAGTTTAAATTAATTGCTACCAAAAATAATCAAAATACACACAGATTTAGCCATTCTTGACCCAAGTAAACTTCTGATAAGCATCATTCTTTTGGTAGCTTTAAACTCCCTTTCTGTTGTGATTCAGTTTGTGCCAGAGTAACACCAGACCTCCATGCTGCAGGTACCAAAGAGGCACAAAATACACTGTGCAGCAACATTCTGAATGGTGTGCTTTTAATACAGCCCTGAAGAGAGGGGTGGTTTTTTTCTTGTTACAGGGCATACAATGTCATTTCTTCATATACAGGAGGTATTCAGCCCTTAATTTACAGGTTTTTCAAGATATTTTACTAGCGTTACTAAAAAAGAGCAAAGAACGAATACGTGTAACACCTCCAAACCATGTCCCACTTAACAAAAAGCCTTCAAGTTTTCCCATTAACAGACAAAATTAAAGCAAGGGCAAAAGCACCTAAAAATATTCTTGAACATAAAAACTATTATGTCTTATGGGTGACCTAGTAAAAAGGCTCTGGAAGATTTATTTCTCTGCATTATAATTCTAATCCTTGTCTACCTTTATAGCCTGCGCATAGAGCTAAGTCACCAAAAGGTACCACAAAAAGGGAGAATGTGACACGCATTTTCTGTGTAACACTTTGGATCAATTTCAGATGCAGTTATACTAAGAGACTGCCTGATTTCGTAATTAATTTCTGGTACAGCATTGTGAAACTGCAGCAGAGGTTTCTTAAGACAGCCAGGAGTCAAGAATCCAGTATCTTCTGAGGCTGCTGAAATAAACACTCGTTTTCCCGCATCCTGCTCGGGCTGGAGCCAGAGTGAAAGTGGAAGAGTAACATTCTGAGACCAGGTATGGCATGTGAAACAAGAGCCTCTAGCTCAGCTGAAGTTCGGGGGTATAATAATCATTTTTCAAAAGTGGTAAGTTTTATGTCTCTCAGAAGCAGCAAATGGGACCAGTCTGAGCACTTGCTATTGGAAAATCAATAGCAACTGGGGAGAATAGAAAAGGAAGGTGCAAAATGAGCCAGGGATATGAAGAGGGAAGTCAGAAGAATCCCCTTGATGACTTAAGGCCTCATAGGAAGAGGCGTTACAAAGCTCTACCTGTCCAGGTGCATGGAAAGAAGAGAGCCTTTGATGGGGAAGCAGGGCAGAGGGAACAGACACCCTCCATCAGTCACAATTCTTGCACTGCTTCCAGGCAGCCAGAGGGAACTGTAAGCATGTTCTTCCCCATCTGGTTCTCACTGCTGCTGCTCTGCACCAGACGATAGTTTGTGGAGTATTAGAAGACAAAAAGACAAACTTGTTTCCTCCTCCTCCCAAGATCTTGATAAGAGTAGAAAGGCTGCAGAGGCAGAATTCTTCAGAGTTGCTCCCCCCCACCTTTTAATCTTCAAGTTTTCAGAGCTCCAGTATCACAACACAGCAAAAGCACTGCAGGTATTTCCACCGTGTGGCAACAGAGCAATTAAAACAAAGCCTACTTCCAGACAGGGAGCAAATAGCACACTGCATCTTGGCTCGTGCTTGGCAGGATCATCATCACTGCTCTGCTGAAAATAACCACATCGTACATCACGAGCTGGTTACCTGCAATGCTCTCAGCTGGCTGACTTCACTGCGAAAGCAAAGGGTGGGAGAAGGTCCCTATTTCAAGGCTGAATCTTCCCAATATCAGCATTTGCTCAGCCTGTTGTTTCAGGCCTAGAGCTGCACTCACACAGTGCCCCTAACAGCTCTGAGAATTTGAGCAGGAATATTTGAAGTCTCCACCAGACACTTCATCCAAAAGCTGTATGAGTATGAGGGAAGCCAGACTTGTGCCATTCCCGGGAATTCCCTGAGACTGACATTAAAACCCCAGTATTTTCAACTGCTGTTATACTACTGCCACAGTAGTAATTTTTTTACCAACAAAATCTGCTTCAAATATGCAAGCACACCTAGCAATTCTAACAGCGGTGCTCATGCTTCTGCATTTTCATCTTCTTACATAGTACATGTAGAGAAATAGGCAACATTACATAAAAGGCAAATGGTACTGGTATATCCTGGATTACATCTGCTGCGAGGCATTTGTTAAAGTTGTTCACAAGTTGTCAGAAAGTCACTATTTTGGTCCACAAGCATTTTCATATTCAGAACCATCTTTTCTATGTGTATCAGCAGTTAAAAATTGCAATATAATTACAATTAGCAATTAAGCAATTACATTTGTGCACAATTGCTTAACCACAAATACTGTGACAGGCCACACATGTAGGTAAGCATTAAATTAGGGCAGCTGCATGGTCAGACAAGATTCATGCATCACTGATACATCACATATTCCATGATTAACAACTAGGTAACATCTCTACACATGAAGTAGTATCAAAAAATCTGTTTGCTTTGAGAACCAGAACTGCTTTGGCAGAACGTGTTGGGTATTTACACCAAACTGCAGGAATGGCAGAGAATGCTTTCCTTTGCAAAGCTAAAAAAAAAAAAAAAAAAAAAGATATTATTCAGACATTTACATCCAAGAAAATATGTGCGATACCAATACCACTTTAGCTATATGGCTCTTCCAGGAGCAGTAACTCAAATGAATAGTCTGATCAGAATGAATTTATGTACAGCACTAGAACCGCAAGGAGACCACAAAGTTCTCTACCTTGTGCTTTAAATGCAGTCTCGTTATTACTACACAAGTTTCCAAGTAACAGGAGTCAGGTAGGAAAGCCTCTTTTCAGTTCCAGTTTGCTTTGCAGAAGACTTGACAAGGTACTTCCCACTCTACACAACCCCTGGTACTTCTCTCTGCCGAGGAGGAATCCGAGGCCCATCAGCCACCCTGGTGATGCTGTAAGGAGGAGCTGGAGAATTACTCCAGGGTTACTGAGCCCGGGAACTGTGACTGCAGCTGAACAAGCTGCAGGTCTAACACCTCCCAAGAGTGGTGGTGGTGGGAGGGGTGTGTCGGTCATTAACTTTTAACTGATGACTACTCCTCTGTATTTATATGTAAATTACCTGTGAAAAGTTGTTCGTAGGATTAGTTATTATTCTCCCTCCGCCCTTTGTGCCAGTACTTCAGATATAATGACTTTTCTTTCTACAGTGTTAAATCCCAGGGCTCTGTAAATATCTCTGCCAAGTTCTCTTGGTGTCCCACCTGGCACCGGACAGCAGAGGACCCCTAAACCAAATTTTTCTAAAAGGCTTTTTGAGATTATACAGAGCTGGAAAAGGTCTTAAGCTATTACCAAAGTTAAATTTCCTGTTTCTGGAGGTGGTTTGTCACTCAAAGCAACCTAGAGAAGGTAGAAAGTACTTTAAATCTTCATTATGATAATATTAGGAGATTTAGCAGATACAGCATGAGAGCAGGATGCTAAAAAAGCCCTCTAAACCAAGAAAAAACTCACACCTATGTACCTTGAACACCCAGAAGACAAGCTCACCAGAAGTACAACCCAAGTTTGAATTCAACTTGCTGTAAGCAAGGCAGTAATTATTTTTAGAGGTGCAGTCAGATTTTTTTTTATCCTAGGCCAACAGGAACTTGTGGTGCATTTGCATGAGCACATATTTTAGATTTCCTTTCTCCTTGCAGAGATAGCTTCTGCACCAGATCTGGTTAAATACTGGATATATTTTGATCGGTTGTTTTATGCAAGATCAATGAAAAAAAATCTTTTTAAATCGGCACAGGAAATCAGCAAGCTTTTCTTGGTACAAAAATCAGTCAGGATGATTATTTATATGGCAAAATTTTTCTTCCCCAACAAACTCTTTGTACAGTTCAAAAGATGATGCTTTCCAGAAAGACAGCATTCAGAATAATATTGTGCACTACACAGACTGCTGAATTACTCCCACTTCTCACTTCGGATTCAGGAACCTGACCATGCAGCGTTCAGTGAGGCACCAGAAATCCCCAGGGAAGAGATCAGCTTTCACTAAAGATCTGTGGTACTTAATTTAAACAGTAATGATCACAATATGGATCAGGATAGGCTGCATCACTGTGCAGGGATGCTAAGAAATAGTGTGAAGCACTTTCCTTCTCATGGTCGTAAGACTTTTTAATGTTTTTTTGTGTGTGAACTCATCTGCCTTTGACTAGCAAAGCTGCTATAACGCATCAATTCTGTCTCACTGCAGTACATAAGGGGCAAACCACGGCTACTGCAAAGCAGTGGGTCGGTATTTCCACAATTATTCAATGAACAAAAAAACGGTACTGTGACAGCATTTTGACACTATAAAATCCCATCATCCCCACTTTACCTCTACGTTAGGTGTACAACAGAAGTAATGTTCTTTTGTTCAACAACTACAGTAAAACTCAGTGCACACCTTTCACATTTTGCAACTTCTAGCCATGATTTTAGGGTCCAAAAAATGTCAGAAGGCTACTAACACGCACAATACATTAAAAAAAGGTGCACGAATGTAGAAAAGCCCAATCTGGTGCAGAGCATCTGTCCTAACCAGAACCCAGGCTTTCCTGACAACTGAAATAGTCTCTGTAGACAAAATACAGTTCCAGGCTGCCACACATGAGATACTGGTTCTTACGTTTTTCCTGTTCAGAACATACAAATTCAAAGTACACCGAATACATTCAGATGGCCTCATTTGCTGTGAAACAGGGAAGAAACCACAGCTGTCTCTGCACGAGCACAGACATATTCTAAAGCAATTTTTATCCTCCTGGACAGGCATGTTCTCTCGTGGCAGACAGATTTACCAAAGGAGCGCAGAAGCATGTGCAAGAAGGTGTTTTAGCACCCTCTGTACAGATCACAAGTGCAAAGGTCATTACTCCTGTCTGTATCTGTGAGATCCTTCCCCTCGACTGGGTGCAAGACTTCCCCTGAAATTATAACCAAGGATTGGACACAGGCTCTATTTCACAAGGAAAGGCCTCTTGAGTTAACTCTCTTGTACAGACACTGAGCAAGATGGCAGAGGCAGTGAAAGCACTTCACTTTCAGGGAGAGGAAACAAAAACAAAACAAAAAGAGTACCTCTCACTTCTATAGTGGCGTTGGCTATAGGAGAGTTTGAAAACACAAACACGCACAAGTATTCCCCTGACTCTTCTGCTCTGGGCTTCAAAATCCTGCAGACAGGGAGAGAACACATGAGCCGTGGTAAGTACTGTGTTAGCAACCAAATATGAGCAGGCTAGGAATTTATTTTTTCCCCCCCATACTTTAATCTTTTAACTGAATTCAGAGCTATTACTTGTTAATTCAAAGTATGTTGTACGGACGTACCTACTTGAAATAAAGGATGTTGTTTGCCTAGAAGAAGGGTGAGCTCTACCCTGGAAAGTCAGTACCAATTTAGCTGAAGAGGCTGCATTTAGTTTAAAAGCAAAGAAGCCGCCTGACACCTGTTAATTAGGCACTACCTTTAGTTTGATGTAAGTCATCCACTAGCCCGTTAGGCAGATATCCCCTCCCATTGAGGGAGGAACAGGATTTGTATGTACTAACTGCACTGAAAAAAACATACATGGCCAATTGGAAAGACAGACTACAAATACAATCAAGACTGACACTGTCATCTCATAAGCCGTTTTCTTTTTTTCATAACAAACAGGAGACTGGTCCATTAACAGTTTTCTCCGATTCAGACTGGATGTGGAAAATCTGCAAAAGCTGGTCAACTCATGAAGGAAGACACCACATAGGAAACTGCTGCTACTTAAAATTAGGAAATGCATTAACAACCAGTAAAGGGAAAAACAGATGCAAGCCAGCCAGAAGAAAGTCAGAGCCGCAACAAATGCCAAAAAAACCCACAAAACCCCAACCCCAAAACAGAAACAACAAAACCCACACAGAACAAAAACCCACCACCAAAACGGATTTACATTTGAGATGGTGCTAACTTCAAGTCCACCAGCTTTTGCTGTACTTTGAAAAGCTTTTGGATACAAATGTCTTAAAAGCTCTACACAGAAGTTCTTCAGATATTCACCTACAAAAGACATCTTAGACTAGAGAAGCACAGGATGATGTGACGCATAATTTAGATCTCCACACAGCACAGAATAAGGTAGTTCTCCCCATCCCCTCCTCCTTTTACTGAAAGGCTTCTTGGCTTTTTTTTTTTTTAAACACATTAAGTAAACAGCATGCAGATGAACAGAAAGCCTGCAGAAGAGCACTGTAACAAAATAATTTAATTACACATGGAAACTGCTTAGACAGGTGGAAAAAGCTGTTTAGCACAATACTTCGACTCAAGTCTTCAGGTGTTTACTACAGGACTTACTTTCCAGAGTCACTGGTGAAAGTCTATAGTTAGTTATAAAGTGAGTATCTGTCAGATAATAATATACACCCACTTATCAGAGTTAAAGATTATCTTAATGACATTTAGTATCAAACATCAAAGCGATAACTGTGTTTAAGCTGTAGGCAAGTAAATATCCTCAGGAGTACACAGTAACCCTGAAGCCTGCCGAAGCTGCTGGCAAAGGTGCAGTCCTGGCCTAGCTGCGATGGGCCAGCCCCACCCAACTAAGCATTACTAAGCTATCCTAAGACCCTGCAATAGCCAGGGAAGGCAGAGAATACTCAAATTTCAGTTAACAGTATTTAGGACCTTGATAGTTAGATAATCATACTCTGATCACTGCTTTTTATCCACTACAGTCAATGCTTAAGAGAGAGGGGGGAAAGACAGACATTGTATTCTTTCAGCTCTATGTAAGAGGCTTTTAAAAGTGTGAAACTATGGCAGCCCTACTGGAGTATTATAACCATAAATCACTAAAGCAAATATAAGTTGATACAGCTGCAGTTTTATAGACAAACAAGCACATGAAACAAGTTTGCTCAGCCAACAAGTTCCCTCAGTCTTGCGGTTTTAGGAAGAGCCCAGCATTTTGTAGATGCAGACTTTTCAGCAGATGCAGAACCACCCAAGACACCATTTTCTTCTATTTAGCTCAGTAACCTGCTACTCAACTCAATTAACGATGAAGTATTCAGAAAGCAATCACTACTTTTCCCCTCTAAACTATGAATGTAGATTAGGGGACAGGTCTCCGGAACGAAAGCACAGGATGGCCAGAACCACTTCCAGACACTTTCTGCTTGTGAAAGAATAAACTACAAATAATTCTTGACCATTTTTAATTAAAATGGTGAACTAAAGACCTATACTAAAACTCTGAGCTTTCTGACTATAGCTGCCTTCCAGCAAGAGCAGCTACATCAAGACTTAATGAAGAATTAGGAAAGATATGTTAAACTTCTACTGTTGCCTGAAGCAGGATTTTAAAGGTATGTATAGTTTAACTTAGAAATTCTGAAGCATTCTGAATGGTAAGCAACACTGAATTTTCATGAACTAACTACATTTCACTAGCAAGATACAACATCTTGAAACATTTATTTAAAAAAAACCAAGTAGAATGCAAAAGATTAATCAATCATGTAAAAACTGCTGAACTTAAATAACCTCTTCTAACTATGTGGACATTGCTTTCATGAATTTCGTATTTCTGGATCTAAAAAATACAATAAAATAACCAAATCAAGCTAGAAGTTAACGAACAGATCAAATGCAGTGTGACCACATGCAACAAAGAAATGCCACAGAAAGTCTGAAGCCACAAGATACAACAAAGCAGATTATAGATGAACGGGAATTTGAGATCTACATTGCAAATACAAATTTTCCCAAATTCTCAAGCTGTCCTGTGATTGCACCATGCTCTACCAATCCTCATTCACTGGGAACAAAGTAATTGTCTTACAGTCTGCCCACTTTACTTCTTCCTTCTCCAGGATGTTAAAATTGAATGCAAATTTAATTCCTTTACTGAGGAATCTGAAAGGAAAAAAATCCAACCTAGCTTGGAACAGATTACAGAGAAGTCAGCCTCAATATTGTAATCTTGATGCAAGATACCTTCTGTACCACTCAAGCTGGTGATTTTGGATAAGGCTGCTCATCAAGTTAATTGCTAGATAAGAAAGCAGAGCCTTAAAACTCAGATCCAGCATTAAACATTGCACTGAGGAAATAACAGGATGTAATTATGGAACTAATTTAGACTATTATTTTTAACTGCAAATCTGAACAGATAAAACAAAGCGAGCTAAAGTGGAAAACAAAAAGGAAAAACTTGAACACCTCTTTATCAGAATCAAACACAACTTCCATAATCCTGCAGATAAAAGGATGCTTTGCTAAGGAAATGAAAACCTTGCGTATTTCTTAATCCTGTGCCAGTAAGCAACATTAGTGCAGTAAAGAGCCCATGGTGCTCTGCTAGAGAGAGAAAAAGGGCAGTTGAGTGTGTTTCCTTGCTTTAGAGCAGAGATAAGGCACAGTAAACCAGATGCACTACAATATAGTGGGCCTTGCCCAGGCATAAGCACCTCTTTTTGACATAATAGCTGAGTAAGAGGGTTAGAAGTGGTCTAATGTCTCCAGTACATTATCACTGGTGGTGTTAAAGACATTCCTTAAGTGATCTTCATCTTAGCTTAACACTGAAAGGAAAGTTGTATTTGCTATCCATTCTGGCATCGAGAGAAGAAAATGGAAGGGGGAAAAAAACAAAACAAGAAAATTACACATACAAACCAGATTTTCATAGTCAAGTCCATGTCAAGAAAGTCCCATTTCAGGTATACAGAAACCCTCAAAGGATTTCCGTTAAGTGCAAGCTACAGTGAAAGGAAAGAGGTGGCTGTACACATTCTGTTCTCCTTCACACCCTTAGATGGAAGGTAGAAACAAAGCCAGAGCATGCGCACGTGGAACAGATTAATGCTGAACATGTGGATGTACTGACAAATAAGAAGTGATACAGCTGTACTGGCTTAATCAAGATTTGGTGTAATTTCATAGTAGTGGTCTGACAACTCATCAATAACAACTCAGACAACACCATCTTTCATCTCCCAAGGCCAGAAAATGACTAAACCAGCTGATTTCAGTGATTTATGTACTGCATTTCCTTGCACAATAAAAACGCACAGCTGCAGATCCATCCTTATGTAGACATAAGCAAGACAGAGACTGCACAATATACTCAGAGGAAAAAACAACTAGACTATGTGCCTGTGCCTATGTCCATACATCATGCATACTCTAGAGAAGAACTAAATTAGTTTAGACTGAAAAGAGAAGTTTACAGAATGTTTTTGTTGACATTATGTTTACATGAGCTAGTTGGGACAACTGGAGACAACACTTTTCCCAGAATTGTTCTTCTGTTATGTGTACTTTTTGTGTGCTAATGCAGATCAACTCACTTTGACCACTGTGAAGCTGAGCACCAGGGACCCTGGAGTCCCAACATCCCATCTGTTCCAAAGTAGTGTGCCTACCAAGTTTGTCATTCGCTAGCGTAACATGAAGATTATTCCAAAGAGACTTACTTGTATTCTGTAGTGTTTGAAGATTTTCTAGTGCCAGGGATCTCCTCTCCATTCTTCACCCAGTAACTGGCAGAAAGGGGGCTGGGACTTGTGGTGAGGTTACACTGCAATGTGACGGCAGGACTGTACTGATGAATGACTACATCCTCACTGGCATTGATCCTGGGCTCTGAAACGAAGGACACATTAAATAGCAACAAATCTTCACTGGCAATTTTGCCCCACTAGCCTAAAATTCAAAGGGGAATTGGGAAGGGAAAAGACTACACAAGGAATGTCAGTCACCGCACTAATTTGGGATACATCAAGAATGTCACACTAAGACAGCTGACCACTAGTGAAGGCAACACCTTATGGATTAACACCCCTACATGGAAAAAAAGAGATTTAATTTAGATTGTTCACTTTAATATTTAACATCACTGCAGATTTCTGTGTAACACCATTAATCATCTTTTACACACTACTGACCATAATATGGGAAAACGCTTGTCCTGTGACTATACATGAGAGATCAGCTGGTCCTTTGGAAGCAACTTCTTTCTGGCTATTACTTACATTGAGGTTTAAAACAAACCCATTTTCTATATAAAATAGCTCTCAGATAGTCTTCTGAATAGTATCTGTAGACTTCCCCCTACAAAAAGACTAACATCTACCTAAGGAAGATATCCTGTGCACACAAGATATTCCAAATAACACAACTTTCCTGATGTCTGAAATTCAAGCAAGCACCCAGTGTGAATAAGGCACAAATCTGATGAAGAATGGCTGAAAAGAGTCTTTAATGCTTAACGATAAGAAGTAAGAATACACACCAAGTTAAAAATTAGAGTCAGGAACTATTTTGTTTCTAAAGTAACCTTAAACATAAACATTTATGCAGAAAAAAACCTGTGAGCCTCATTGCATAAACAAACCACAAGAGTTACATACTTTGCTGGTTGCATTAGGAACTAAACTAAGGCTGTTTCACTTTACAATCTTACCTTTTAATATCAGATACACATTTTTGAGGGGAAAGCCCTTCAGAAGTAATAAGATTAGTATGAGGGCACTGTTCTTACATTTGATAACCATGTTTTCTTAAGATCGTGCAGATAGCTATTACTCTCTAACAAAACAGGCTGATGAATTTTTAGAATAGTCAAGAGACAAGTTTCTTCCCGATCTTGGAAAAGAGACCTTTCTATTGAAGGTCTCATGGTTCACAGCTGGTTTCAAGTAGTCTGAAAAAAACCCAAAAAATACCCCCAAAACTCAAACCCCAAAAAAGAAAAAAACCCAAACCAAAAACCAACAAACCCTAACACAGGATGACAGAGCTTAAAGGAATTTAAGAAATCTTGCTATTAGTCTTCCAAAAATATCCTCGTTTAGTATTGGCTATAGTTACATCTTGAACCAAAGGCCACTACTATAGCAGTAAACCTGCTGTGTGTCCTCTGGTTTTGATGCATTTCCTTACTTTAAAGGGTGAAATGAATTCCAAAGCAGCTGTTGCCAGCTGCTCATTTCACCAACCACACTCCTACAGCACCAACCTCTCTGAGCACATTCTGGTCAGTGGCAAAGGGTAGGAGGGTGAGGAAGTCAGTCACTAATGAATGTCTTTTGTGATTTTTGCCAAGTCAGCGAAGGATTTTTAATCCTGTAAATTTTGTTATGCTCTGTGGTAACATATTTGCAATATAAATTTAGTCATATCCATGCAGTCTTTTGGATATTCATCTGCAAAGCACTTGGACACAAATTATGAAACTGAGGAAGAGAAGTGGAAAAAAACATCAGAAACGCTGCATTTTTCACTACATAAAACATTAATCTATCCAATAGTACATTATTGCCCAGAGAGGTAGGTACAAAAAAATATCTACCTACTAATGACCTGACAAAGCCTTTTGACTCCTGTATATCCTTTTCCCCTTTCTTCAGCAGGCTGGCTATATAGCCTCTTTTCACAGCTATTTAAAATCAGGACTATCATTTAACTGCAGAAAAACTGGCAGGTACTGTAGTAATGGAGGGGGGTTTTGACACTTTTCACAGACACTTTGCTCTTAACACACATTTTCAACTGTGTTTCTGCCTCATTTTTCCCATGCTGGGAATTTTAACCATGCAAGGATCTGTTTGGGTCTTATGAGGTACAAAATTGTTTTGTTAAAGCCATACCATTACTGGACAGCCCTACAGGCATCTCCATGCCCAAGAAAAAGCTTGTGTGCGCTCTCAGAAAAGCACTAACAGAGCTTTGGAAATACTTTTAGTATTGTGTGAAATAATAATTCAGTGTTAGAACACTTATCTAGAGGAATAACTTTTGCTAGGATTCACTGATCATACTGGAGTTTGTTTTAAACATTTTTCTTTGATGAAAGCAGTGTCTTCAACTCTGTAGCCTGTGAAATAAATGCAGTGGGTTTCCTTTTAGGAGGACGCTGGCAGGACAGGCTTCAGGGTGCTGTAACAGAGACTGCAACACATCTAGCGAGCGCTGTTTTAACAGACGCCGATGCTCCTTGTGCTGCGCAGAGACACAGCCTGAAGTGGTGATCAGCCTGCTGCGATCCTGGAAATGGAAAGCATACATGCTGTCATCAGAAACCACCACACAAGTGCCAGCAACAGGAAAAAGTCACCAAAAAAAAAATCAATCTAGTCCCTACAGAAACCAGGAAGTTAAAGACTTAATTCAGAAGGGGTTTGACAGTGGTAATCTTCTGGCTTTCGTATTCTGTTGATAATGGAGTCTTCAGCCTCTAATACTGATGAACCTCAACATACAAAAAAAGCCTGCCTGGAGCTAATTCATATCTATTCTTACCTATGTTTCTGCTAAGCTGTGATGTCCAGAAAATATTTACAGCTGTCTCAATCTTGCTTTGCTGGAGCTTGCTGCTGTCTTTTGTGTCTGACTTGCAACTTTTCTAAGTTTTAGGTTGAGAAAATGAAAGGCAACTGCAGTCTCATTTACATATTTTACCTGCATTTATGTCACTTTGTTTTTTTTAAAAAAAAAGAAGAAAAAAAAAAAAGGAAAACAAATCAGGCAGTCTTAGCCTGATTTAATTCTAGAAGACAAGCTTCAAATGCAATACTACTGGAACAGTAACATCCAAAGAAAGATGTCCACTTAAAAAGAGACTCTTCAGCATCTTGCTCTTTCACACATCATTTAAACTGCTTATTTCATGCAAGATCACATTTTAAAGTTAAACAAACAAGTCAACCAACCAAAAAAACCCCAACCATTAATAAATGAAATTGTTTATCCAAATTAGGAATGAGACAGGAGCCAGATGTTAGTTCTTGGGTGCTAACGTGTAAAAATCAAGTTGTACTTGACCTCTCGGCATTCAAGTTCCAGTATCTGAAACAAGCTGTGATTTAAAGGACAGTGAAGAGGTTGTGCTCTTTTGAAACATCTGATGTTCGTTTTCAGTAATGCTGATGTCAAATAAGGCCAGCACCAAAATGGCCACCATTAGCTGGAAACTCCTAACACTGTCGGCAGAAAATTCCTATTTCAAAGATAAGTTGGGCTCATGCACACAACACAGCAGCTGATACGTTTTGGGCAGCTTCAGAGAAGATGGTCTCCACCTTCCAGGGACAGCTTGGAAACCTGCTTCCCACCCTCATCTCTGTTTCCAGCATGGTCACACAGGAGTTCGATGTCCAAGTGGTCTGTTCCCCAAGCAGTAGCTGGTCAGATCTCTTAACATACACAGTATTACAGAATATAAGCATTAAAGTATTTGGTTCAACATTTCCCCCTCTATGAGTAAAACACAAAAGCAGAAGAATTATCCTGGGCACAAGGCACTTAGCAATGAAGTCACAATACACACCCCAGAATCAGTAGCACCAGATGCAACAAGATGATGTTAACTGGGGAGGAAGATGAGAGGTTAAACTTCAATCCCTGGATCAGGTTAGTATCAATGGCTTAAGAGAGGAAAAACACACTTTCCACATGGAGACATCTTGACAGTAATTCATTCCCAAATGACGACTTTTCATATGAAAAGGATTTTCTCCCTCAGTAGGTTACTAAAATTGACTGGACACAAAGAGAGCAGCACAGGACCACAAACTTGCCACACTCAAGAAAACTAAAGGTCTGAACAGGGGCAGAGGGGATTTCCAGGAAATATTACTCCCTAGAAGACAAATTTTTAAGCTTTGTCTTAGGGTAGTGTCATATCCTAAAATTACACAGCTCTTGCTGCTGTAGGTCATGCAAGCAATCTACCCATCTGAGTCCTTTGGGACGTCAAAGGACAAAGGAGGAATCAAGCATTAGGACTGAAAGCTGAGGAGGTTTCAGCTGAACCACCCAATGCCACTTAAATTTTCAAGTCAATCCAAATCACTGGGGTTCACTGGCTATTTTTCCACATATATCACTGTAGTTTCCATTTTCCAGAGGTAAGTTCTCTGAGTTTAAGACTGTCTGGTTGGATTGGTGGGGTTCTTTTAGGGCATCCAAAAACATAGCTGAGACATAATTACAGAGTTTGATATTTTTGTACCCAGACAAAACTCAAAGTGGTACATAAAAGATTTATTTATGCACAGAGCACAATAGCAAGGCAATACCTATTCTCTGCTCTTTGCCACCTTAGGACATTGAGAAATCACAGGGACGCAGGTTCTCCTGTACCTCCATGCACCAGGCTCACATTGCAGAGTTAATTCACTCTGCCCATAATTCATTAAGAGATTTGCTTCGTCTGGTTAGCAAATGCAGGAGTTTTGCATCTTACACAAAATAAAACAGGGTTTTTCTCTAATGACTCTGACGATACAACTTCCAGACTTGGCTGGGACTGCTTTAGAAGCAAGCTGAACACATTATTGTCTTGTAATAATAAAGAACAGAAAGTGATTTTGGGTCAACCATATTCTCTGCTTTTGAAAGCCTTTCTGCTGCCAAAAGTTGAATTCTCAGCCAAAAGTCATTTAGCTAAAGTTATTAGTTCAGTACCAGGGGGGAGGATATTCCCCTCCCTCCCTTCATAGGCTGGATAAAGAATAGCTGCATCGGCTCAGTGCTGCTGCATCAGAGAACTCATTAGGAAAACGGCGCTGTTCAGAAAGGAAAATAAACACCACGACTTCATGGAAAAATCTAAACATTTAAAGGTCACACATAACTGAAAGGGAAGGATTTGTACAGAAGCATATATGCAAGCAAAACCATGTAAGAAGGCATTCAGAGAAATTCCAAGAGAACAGGAGAAATAAAACCAAAACAGTCAGACCTGGGAAGAACACAGAAATCAAATATAAAGGCACTCTTGGAGAAGATAGCATTAGGGTGACTGGAAAACTACTACAAAACTAAAGCGGGTAGGGAAGAAACACAAATTCAACACTGGGCTTGTTTTCACACAGAAGCTATAAAACAGATCCACAGATTTTCCCAAGTCCTTTGATCCTAAGGAGAAGAGACACAGATGGCACACAACGGCAGCACTACAGGTGGAGGAGCAGTCTAGGGGGTTCAAGACATCAGGGCAAGGTAGCAGAGGGTTTATCAGGGTAACAGGAGGGAAAGGGTCACTAGACTGCCTCTAGATACTACAGTACCACTACTGTAGGGTGCCGGACTCACTCTGAAGGACGCTTATAGTAGCCTGGGCTCGAATCCACGTTATGGAGGGATTTTGCCTCAAGTCATTCCTCCTGGGATCGTTGCTGGCCCTGCACTCGTAAGTCCCAGAGTCTTCCAAGGTAAGGCGGGTTATTCTCAGCACACTCACCCCATTCGCCCCGTAGGCAGTGTTAATGGTGACACGGCGCTTCCGAGCGCCATCCCAAAGCTGTTTGAAAGACTCAGCCCGGTTGACTTCAGCGTACCACCACTGGATCTCTGGAGTGGGGTTCCCAACCACATCACAGTACAGTTCAAAGGCGTCCCCCGTGAGTTTAGTTTCTGACATGGGCGACTTGACAAACCCAGCTAGAGGGAGGGGCAGCAGAAATGCAGTGACAGAGCAGCAGAAAACAAGAGATCTTATAAAGAACAAAGCAATGAGGTGTAGAAAACAAAGAATTAGATAAGACATTAGCATCTACAATAACAGAACTTTCACTGAAAAAACACAACACTGAGCACTTGCAGGTGGAGGTCGACAGCTTGAGAGCAGCACGCTCCACTCAAGAGTATTCACAGGAGACACAGCTTCATGGCACAAGGTGCTTTTCCTCGCCACTCCGGGGGATCCACCTGTGGCAGCTGCACTTGGGAAGCCACAGGCTGCCAGGCACACCAGCCAGGAGGAACCTCCAAGCCGCTCAGCAGACTGACAGGCGTTCAAGCCTTTTTTGGATGTGTGGACCTTGTAATCGGCAAGTATTAAGTGTTCACGGCCAAACATCTTTCCTCTGAAGAGTATTCTTGCTTTATACAACCTATCTACAGGGGGACAAAAATGGGTAAAACCCTAACCTTCTGCCCTACGCAACCTGCAACTGTGAACTCTGATTTGACCTTTTATTCCATCTATTTTGGACTTCAGAGGCAGGGAATTTCCCCAAGATACAAGTGACCTACTTTCCTGAAGTAGCTGGATTACCACAGCTCCAGTCTCACAACCTTCTAAGGTAAAGGGAATTTCAGTGGTATATGCACACACAGGCCAGAAGATCGTTTTGTTAGTTCAGAAACAGCATCAAAGGGACTTCAACAAACCACACAATTTTTACCTTCTGAAACGAGATCCCATGCTGACATTTGTGATCAGGCCAAAATATCCTTATTATGGCATGAAATCCTTCAATACTTACCAGCCTCAGAGCTGTGTTAAAAGCACAGACATACCAAATTGTCCTTCAATCCTATTTTCAAAGGTATCTACTGAAAACAGTGTTGCCTTTAAACTGGTCTCTTCCCCCGCCAGGCCCCCCCAAAACTAGAAGATTAGAATACAGCTGGCCAGACAGATTATGCAGCAAAACCCGTCAAATTGCTGTGTTCCCTGGGCAGCAGGACTTCTCATCAGCAAGCACAGTTAATAGGGCCACACAGCTGATAAAACTCAGATTGTTTAATTCTTTTCCTCAAATTCACGGCTTATTTTCACGAAGAGGACTGAAAGAATTCTACAGATTTTAGAAAATGGAAAGGTGGACTTAAAAGCCTTGCAAAAATTTCTGATGCACACTCATTAAATTCTTCCCACCTCCCCACATCATTTGACCATGCTCATGAATGTATATATAACTGTTTGTTTTGCTGTTTGACAATTACATTGGAAGTCTGAACTATCTATAGATCTGTAGTTCTATATGCATCTCTAAATAATCACTTGGGCAGGAAAACAAGACCAGGAGTCTCCAGAGCACACAGAGAAACTGTTCCTTGATGGCATAGCCCTGTTTGAAGAGTAACTGTGCCATAGTTGCAGGTAACAGCTACAAGAACAAACACTCAGAAGTAAAAAATACTAATGTCAGAAATGGTTTCAATTACAAACTCATTTGAAAAGGATTCTCCAGCCTTGTACTCCAGCACTAAAGGAGGCGAGCTCTACACTCAGTAGAAATACCACAGCAAATAATCCATTGCTGCAGGGAGAGCGAGGAAAAAGCACTAGAAGTGCCCTAATTACAGCTACAAACTGCACTAAGACCACCGTTGTTTTTCCTTGAGATTAACAAGGATCACACTGTTTTCACACTGCTGCTTGAGGTAACACAGGAGACCAGGTTATGATCTTGCTCTGCTGGACTGTCCCCATTCCAAGGGATGCTGAACGAGGAAGAACTTGTATTCCCATAGAGGCATAAATCAGAGCGCAAGACTGGCATCTAGCTCAGCACGGTTTACTAGACGCAATAGGCTAAAGCAGTAACACATAGCATAAGCTAGCTTCTTTCCAAATCTTAGTGGTTCTCCTATACTACAGCCTTTTTCTCCATACCTTCCATCATAATATTGAAACACCGTTCACAGCCAAAGAGACGACAGTAGCTCAGAGCAGACTGCTCAGAAAACGATCCCCCTTCTACAGGTCCCCAGTTTCCACTAAACACTGATGCACAAAGATGATGAACTAACTCCCCTGCCGTGAAATGCATCCCTGAAGTCAAAGGCCAAGTGACCCAAAACCCTAAAGCTGCAGTTCAGTCCTACTTCTCCAGCTGTTCTGGCTACTAAGCAACCAACTAAGCAAGAAAGGCTTCTTACCTAACCTTTGTGGCAGGGATGAAGGGGTGTAATTGTTTTCAAATAGCCATGAGCTGCACTGCTACTCAGGTTACACAATAGACATATGTGGTATAAAAGAATACAGTAAATCCTCTTATTAAAAGGAGTATCAGTAATTTGATTAAAACAAACTGTCAAAAGCTTTCAGTTTTCAATCTGATTCAGCATTCACTAAGCTGTTAGAAGTATTATAACTTTTGCATAAAGCCTAAAAATAATTTTAAAACATTAAACTGGACAGCTTCATCAAAAGGTCTCTTTAGTAATTATTCTCCAGGTTTTAAGTTTTAAACCCTATGTTTCCATCTGTTTCAAAACCTCTTGGAAAACAATGTCTCAAATTATGATATATTTCAATGCAATACTCTATCTTCACCCGAGTAATGATGTAATCGGCACATATAACTCCATCATGATGGCAAAGAAAAAACACAAACTGGATTTGGTGGCCCTCCCCACCCCACCAAGAGATAAAAGTACTCTTTAAAAAAGGTATTCTAGGTTAGAATAAATTCCTGGAAGGACAAACAGGAATGAAGATGGTAGAAGAGCATCCATATGCAAATTAATAAAAACTGCATTATAAAGGACTGGCAGTGCCATTGAAAATGCTACACAAGTCTCAGGTTTTTTTCAGAAATAGCAAAGGCAATATATTCAACAGCATCAGTAAACTGAGGCGGTGCTTCCAGCCACCATACATCTGCCAAGGGGTCATTTCCAATATCTAGCCAGAAGCTGCAGAAAGAGCTGAATTCTGCCAGTACCAAGACGACATGTTTAAAGGAAAAAAAGAGGCAAAATATTACAGAGAATGCTCTTTGTAACACAACAGGAGTCTGGAAACCGAAGTACTCCTGCTTTTTGGCAATTGTCAGTGATTTCCATAATTGTTCAAAACCAAACAGAAAATGATACTGTACAGATTTCATTGCTTACATAAGAGGCTTTTGGAACCCAACAGTTTCCTTACTCGGTCTTTTCCAAGCACAGTACTTGCTGCTTTGTTATTACTGTGTTCTGCACAATTCTAGAGACTGGAGCATCAAAAGAACAAAATACCTACCAAAATACAAACAGATCAAGCCAAGAGGTCAAGGTTTTGTTGAAGTGATTGTCTGTTTAAAACTGAAAACCTGCCCTTATTTGTAATTTACAGCTGTCTTATTTTCCAATGTGTAAACTGTAGGAAGCAGTGGCTGCAATAATTTTCAGCTTCAGTTTACAAGTGTCAGCCATTTAAAGGCTCTCACAAAGGTCAGAGCTCTTGGGAGTGTGGAGGAAGGAGGCAATAATCCATAGATCACACCTTAAAATCATACAGACCCATGGGAAGTGGCAGAATAGCCCAAATCTTAAGTGAACCCCTAATGTCAAATACAATAGGGAAAAGCACTTTCAAGTGCTGACAAGAAAATATTATTATGAAGTTTTGATATGTAATTTTTGTTATATTGACAGCTGTATTTATTTCATTAGTCATGAGTTATTCTGTTACACAGTGAGTTTCCCCACAATAAAACTAAAAGGTGTTTGAGGCAGAGAGTTGTTCAGGTTTTGGATATTTTTAATGCTAATTGCTATCATGCATAAAAACCAAGGGAAAGCCTACTGTTAAATATCCCTTGCAAAGTATTTACAAGCTTTCACAATATACAAGAATGCAAGAAAGATAATGCACAACTGTCTAGAAAGTGAAACTATTTAAGTACATGATTATGTTTCCAACCAATTTTTTTGTTGTTGTTATTAGTTGATGGTTATCTATCTGAAGGACAGAATGAAGAACAAGCAGCAATAACATTAAATCACTTCTGGAGTGATGTTTGTTTATTGAAGATTTGATCTCATCCACCAATTGTGAGAATAAAGGTGTGGAAAGCAGTTGATTAATGCTCTAAAATTAGGAAAACAAATTAGTCTCCACATACAATTCTGTCAAAGACTAATGAAATCCAGTGCACAGCAGAGCTCTTCACATTTGCAACTCTGTATGTTAAAATTTGTATTGTAGTGAAGAACCACTAAATCCAGTTTAAGAACAAAATGCATTTTGAAAGACTGGTGCACTTGAACTGGGAGTGGTGAAGAAGCTAAGAGCTATTCAAAAAGGCCAACCAAAAATTTCCGTATGCAGTAAGAGAGGTGTGTACAGCAGACTCCCAGAGCCAGAAAGCTGGAAAAGCTCCACATTAGACAAATGTAGAGTTCAGAAGAGGAGAGTGGACAAGAAGCCTAAAAATGGCGAGTTCAAATGAGCACAAAAGCCTAGCTTTACTGCTCTTGAGCAATCTGTTTTCATTAATGAGGCTTTATCCATGAAAGACACATTTTCAGATTAATTTTTCGTTTGTCAGTGTTTATGAGCTACCTGTTGGCCAAAAGCAAGCAAGGCCAAGCTACATTCCAGCTTTGGCATATAAATGAATCACAGCTTTACATACTAGAAATACCCCTTCCAACCTCACATGGTAGCAGCACCCCTTCCAACTGCAGCTATTTCCCTCACTGACCAAAGCCAGAAGTCGGTAACCAAGTACCTCTGGAAAGAGACAGAACAAGGCTTCCCCACTTGCTGATGTGATCAGGGAACTGTAGGATTAAATACAGCATACAACTAGAAATTTATACATATTAGAAGCATGTGGGAAATACTTCACTGTAATTTTGACCAAATTCTGAAGCCTGTAGAGCAGCATGTCTTCCACCTTGGCTGGACCCTCCCAAATAGCGTAAAACCACTACTGCAATGACCAAAGAAATTGCCAATTTCCTCGCCTGCTAGAATAAACACACAAAATAGGATCTTGATAGAGAGATGAACAGTTATTATAAAATAGGCTAGCAGTGATCTACAAGTCTAAGCATATATAGAAAGCATTACATGAAAAAAATCACCCCTGACCTGCAGAAGTGATTGCGCTATTGATTTAAATATCCTTTTGTTACTGAAATTTAACACAAGATGCAGCAGCTTGCAAAGGAATCAATGACAATGGCACTGGAGAAGCAAAGCAGGGAGAATATATTGATCTCCTCAAGATAAAGTCTGGTCTAAAGAAAGGGGTTTAAAAAATAAAGCTGCATTTTGACTTAAGCAAACATAGGTAATGCAAGCTGAGGAAAGGAAGTGTTAAAGCAGTCCCGGCAAAGACAGAAACAACCAGGTTTAAATGAAATGCAGGTACTGCAAAAAGCTGTAATAACATA